CTACAAGCAGACAGAAGGATCACACAATAGCAATATAACAAACTCCTAGAAAGTATTCTTGAAATACTCAGTTCTAATAAATACCAGAGACCATGTTCAGATTTGGTGTTGAAAATGTTCTATCTTCAGAAGTTCTTCTGAGTATCATGCTAGTAATTTACCCAAGAGTGGGGCAATTATATAATGGTGTCCCTTTTCAGTCTCTCCCTTAAATAATAGAAAAGAGGTGTCATGTAAAGTGGATAGAATATGAATTTTGTGACCTCAGACAAGTCATGACTCTCCCGTCTCAGTGATAATCCTACTCTGTGATTGTGTGTAGGAGGTGGAATGCTAGGGCTGGCCGCTTTGCTCACTCAGTAGAGCGTGTTGCTGATAACACCAAGGTCAAGGGTTCTGATCCCCATACTGGCCAGCTGCCGAAAAGAGAATAAAAAGAGGTGGAATTCTATACACCTGTAAAGAATTTCATTTTGACCTGTGTTTGCTCCTCCTTCTACTCTATGGTCTTATGAGGATCTCTGCTGCAAAGCACTAAGACTTAATAGAAGAGAAAATTTAGCAATCTAGAATTTACTCTGTGGTGTTTGAGGCAGCAACGTAATTTTTAAAACCAAGTTTAATATCATTCTAGCCAGAAGAGGTAAAGCATGCTGTCCTGGTTTTCCTTTTCCCTGCTGACCACTCTTTCCAAGGCTGATCGCCTTGGCCTCACCTTATCTGTGTGATCTCTAAACACCAGATTGTCCCAGAATTCCGTCTTCATAAATGCTTCTCTTTATTGTATTCAGTTGGTCTCATCACTTTAAATATGCAAGTGACTTCCAGATTTTTACCTACAGCTCTGGACTCACATATCCAACTGTTTCCTTAATATTTCCACAGGGATGTTTAATAAGCACCTCAAACTTATCATGTCCAAACTATACCTCTTGGTTTTCTCCCCTACCCCACCCAGGCTTCCCCATTTCAGGGAGTGAACGTCATGTCCCACCCATCATTTAGGTCCCTGCCCAACTGTCATCTTTTCTGAGAGGCCTTCTCTGCCCATGCCATCTAGAACACTCCCTGCTGCTCGACTCTGCAGTCCCGACCCTGCCTCTCTCCCCCATCCCTGCTCCAGGGTGACAGGAGTCCCACCTGTCTTGTTTACTGCGGTGTTCTCAGTGCCTCAGAGGATGCCTGGCTCGTACTGGGAGATGCATAAATAATATTCATCGGAGGAAAGAAAGAGTGAATGAGAATGAATAAACAAAGCAATTTAACCAAGAATTTGTTAAAGATGGAGGTAGGGTGAAAGACATTAGTTAAGTTCTAGGCGTTGTCCCTTCAGTTGTTTTTTTGATCTAATTAATAAGTTTTTTAATTTAGAAATTTTCTTCTGTGAATTTTGCCATCATGAACAGCTGGAATAGTTTAGGGAACCTGAGGAAAAATGTTTACACTTAAGCATTTTTGGGGTCTGATAGAAGCAGTTTTTGATGGAAAGGTATTTGCTAAGGTTCAGTTCTTGAGACTTTAAATGCAGTACTTGATGATCATCAAATATTTACATAGATTTTCAAGATGCAACAGAATGTTAATTATTGCTTCCCAGTCACGGAAGTCCATGCTGCAGTTCCCGTCCTTTCTCCCCTGTGAACAGTGCAAGTGATGGATGTAAAGGGCCCACAGATCTGCTTCCAGCACCTGCCGTTCTCAAGCCTGCAGCGTCTGGCTGCGAGAAGGATGCATGCAAGGAGCTGACTTTCTGAGCATTAATTTCTTCCACCAGGAGATCAGTAAATGGACCCTTCCACCTGCTGCCATCCACATTTGGAATTTGGTTACATCACTGATTTTTGCTTCTGCTGGATGAATTTTATAATCAGTCTCAAGGAGAAAGAAGATGGCATTTTTCATCACTGCTCTGCCAGCTTCTGTTTGCAGGGAGAATTCACTGCATCCAAATTCATAGGGTGACATTTTCCTCCTTTGCAAATTGATGAGTTGGGGAGCCTCACGCTTATGAAACATTGGCTCGTTATTCTTTGTCCAGAATGTAGATTGTGAATTTGTGAAATTTTAAAAACACAATCTCATTCGCAAGATGAATAAAGAAACTACAGTGCCATCTGCTGGCTTAATATGGAAATGCAGGCAATGACTAGGGTACATCTAAACCCGAGGATAAGACTATTCAAAATGTGTGGTAATTTGAAGAAAATAGATAAAAATAATGAAAACATTTCAAGGAAGCATTTTAGAGAGGAAAACACTTTCATGTGTTATCATAACTGTGTATTAGTGAGAAGTTTTTTTCTGCAGTGTAAACTTTGACATAGTTTTACTATATTAAACATTCCCATTGGCAGAAAGAATGAAAAATGGGTTGGGAAAATAGAAATGAACCTTTTAATTTTTCAAGGATAGAATTGAGGTGATTTTATATACAGTTCATCCAGATGAAGAAAAGTAAGGCTGGTACTGGAAAGAAGATGGGGCCTGGGTCTGGTCCCTTCTTGGCCTCCGAGTAGCCGTGGAACTGGGGGTCTCTACCTTGATTTCTGCAGCCCACAGTTTCCTGTAAACGTCGGATCTGGGTTAAGTGATTGGTAGAATTCCTTGAAACATGATAAGGTTTATTGTTCTAAAACAGCAAAGGACTAAAGAAAAGTGTTGTTTCTTTAGACCATTTTTCCACGAAGCTATTTCTTTTAGAGAAAATAAAAGTTCACATACGTATTTTTCACCTTATTACATAGTTAACTAGTTTTATGAAGAGCAAGGGAAGCTTGACATATTTGGTCCTCAGCAATTAGGTCAAGACTTTCTTAGTCCTTAGAGTGAGTATAAAAATACCTGTGGGGCTTCCTCTGCTGTAAGTGGTCACCTGCCGAGAGCGTGCTTCATCCTGCGTGCTTCATCCTGCGGTGGGTCATGGCCAGCCGAAGGAAGGGGGAGGGATGCGTGTCACCATGACTCATGGCTCTGAGTTCAAAATGCGACGGAGTAAAATTTTTTTAAAAAATTAAGAATCCAAACAGCTTAGATGCGATTTCGCTTTGAAGGATTTCCTGCCGTAATCCCCAGCGAACTGGCCAACTGCTTGTCCCTGCTGCCTTTTTGTTCTGCCCGTCCTTCCCTGTGGCCCTGAGATTGTTGCATCTCCTCCTCCTCCTACTCCTCCCCTCTTCCCCTTCCTCCTCCTTCCTCCCCTTCCTCCTCCTTCCTCCCCCTCCCCCTCCCTCCTCCACACACTACTTTCTTCGTGTCCATCTCCCTCCCTAACCTGTGAGTCCCACTGCTTCATATTTTTCCATGTCTCTTACTCGTGATATTGTTCAATACATTTGGGCTAAATGATCTAAAAATTCTTAATGGCTACCTCGTAAAAGCCATTCAAGTAACATGTTTAGGTGTTTTCATTTTCGCATGGATAGGAGGAAGGAGAACGGACCCTAGATACGTTAGGTGCAGTCTGAGGATAGGGTAGATTTTCCTTACATTTCTGTGTTCACAGCTCAGCAGTAGAGGAACATAACGAGAGTTCCAGCCTAGCTCTCGTGCCTGCAGCCGTGCCTCCTGCTTCTGTTCTTAGCGCCCACTCTCCGCTAGTTGACCACAGAGATCTTTCAGATTTCCATGCTAGTCAAAGAGTTCTCCTCTCAGACTTGAAGGAGGATGGTGCCTGTAGGGCCTGGGCCTTCTGCTCTGAAGTGGCACCAGAGGTCAGCCAGCCTCAGTGCAGCTATGCCAAGGGTAGACTAAAGGTGGCTGGACCTGAGAAAAGCCCCCTCCCCTCTCTGGTCACCTTAAGTTCTCCAGGTCCTTTTACCTGCAAGGTAGGCAGAAAACGACTGTTAGGTTTTTCTGATGCTCTGCTTCTCTTCCCTAATTTTTTCAGTGCAACTTATATCTGACCTCCCAACCTCTGTCTCAAGCATTCAGATGCTCAGGAGTGTTTTGCCAGACACCTCTTCTGTCTTCCTTTTTGGCTGTGAACTTGTAGCTAAGATTCGGGTGTTTCTGTGCTGTTGCAGGTTCATTCTTTCTGGTTTCCATCATCAGCGAGCCCGAGGACACTGAACTTGCCCTTTGAGCTTTGGATCCACCTAATGAAAGACCTTCCTCCAAGCTTTACTCTTTCCTTTTTGAGACAACCAGTTTTTAACTTTGGTTTCCCTGCCTTCTTGCTTTAAGTTGGAATTTGTCCAGATATTTTCTAGAGAAATACTTAATTAACTGGTTTGGGGCTGTGTACACTTTTAAGGTTATTTGGGTTCATCTGTATCAGGAGTCATACAGTGGCAGCCAGGGGGTAGGGAGTAGGGTATGAGGCCAGATCAGTTGCCCAGACATGTTGATTTATTTGCACACATTTCTAAAAACATGGGATTATTTGCCATCACTTAAAAATGTGGAGCTCTCGTATAAAAATGCAGATTTCTGGCTTCTGTTTGAACTCTGGAAGATTGCCAATTGGCAGCAACCAGCTGGAAGAGCTCCTTACTGGCTGCCCAGTCTGTTTGGGGCATCCAGTCTGTTGCTTGGTTCCTTCCCCTTCTCCCACCACATTCTTATTTTACCTACAGGTGGCCACTTGACTCACCTGCTGACCAGGTGGCATTTGTGGTGCTGAGTTTATATTTTCATTATTATTCTCTTTCTGTTTTCCACTTCCACAAGAGACTTCTCAATGGTAGCAACTTGTAGTTAGTACTTCACAGAAACGAAAGGAGCTTCAGCAATCCCCTAGTGAAGTCTGTCTTCTTCATTTAATGCAGGTGTTACGCTAGAGTGAGTCGTTAATAAATGTTGACTCATGGCACATGAATCTGTTTCTAGGAAGCCAGGAGACAAGTAGAAAAGGCCAGTGGTAAATATCCTATAAATATTTCCCTGGCTCTGCTAAGTAATATTGATGCTGGGTCTCAAACTAGTTAGGAGGATTTCCAGTTCTCCCACAAAAGCAAGGATCTCTGGTAATCCAATTTGTTTTTCTTTTCTAGGAACCCTCTTCACAAATCAAACTCAGACGACAGTTCTGTAGGTCAGTACCATTTTTCTTGATTTAACTGATTAATTATTTTCTTTTAATAATTTATAGAAAACCTAAACGTGAAAATACAAAAACCACAAAGAACACCGAGAAATAAATACTGTTAAGATTTTGATGTACACGACAGTTCTGTAGGTCAGTACCATTTTTCTTGATTTAACTGATTAATTATTTTCTTTTAATAATTTATAGAAAACCTAAATGTGAAAATACAAAAACCACAAAGAACACCGAGAAATAAATACTGTTAAGATTTTGATGTACAACTTTTTTCTCCTTTTTCTTTCCCTATTGTGTGGGGTTTTTGCTTTTTTTTTTAGTGTGTGGGTTTTTTAAAACCATAATTGGGACCATATTCTCCATACTATTTTATATAATTTTTCAATAGAATATGTTATGAGCATGTTTGCACATGATTGAATATTCTTTACAGTAAATTTTTTAAGTTTGCACAATACTCTGCCATACTGTATGTGCCATAATTTAATTAACCAATCTCTTTGCTGGACATTTAGGTTGTTTCCAGTTTTTTCTCTGTCATAGACAAATGATGCTGTCATAAAAATTCTTCAGTCTATGTCTCTGATAATGTCCTTAGAATAAATCCTTCAGTTTGGAATTTTGGATCAATGATAATGCACAATTAAGGCATTATCTATTTCATATGTCCTTGATTATTAAATCCAGTCTTGATTTAGTAACAGCTCTTCTATCTGATTCCAAGCATGGGTGGGGAAAAGTGATTAGGAGCATCGTGCTCCAATCAGGCTGCTTGGACTTGAATCATGACTCTGCCAAAACAATGCTTATGACCCTGGGCTAGTCACTTGCCTCTCCAGACTTCAGTTTCCTCATGTACTTAATGGGAATAATAATACATCGTATGAGTGAGTATTAAGTGAGATGTACCATCAGATAGCAAAGTGACTAGATAGTAAGTACTGAACAAATGTTAGCTATTATTGTTTATTTAGGCTGCATCTCCATTTCAGAAACATTAAATTGGGAGAAAGAAAACTTATAGTTATAGAAATACATTATATGCCCAAATTGCATATAATGTATTTGAGAGAAAGATTGAATTTAGGAATAATCAGTCTGCTTTAACCCTTCATGGCTGATACTTGCTTTAGAGTTTAGTCTGAAGGCAGCAGGCACCTAGAAACTTGACGTCAAGATCTGGGTCCATAGAACGTCTCAGGTTGAAGGGCTCTGGTTTCATTCCCATGGCTCTGGGGGTTGTCAGAACTTAAATGAGGACATCCTGTTTTGAAAAATGATGCCCTTTCTAGCCTGGGAGTGCTGTGGATGGGGTTTCCACAAGCATAGCTTGGCACCACCAGTCTAGACTGTGGAAACCCATCAATTTCCAGTGGCCATGGAGCAACCAGACAGGCACTAAGTGGTGCCGAAGCTGCTGCTTTGAGTGTGCCACGCCAGCAAGTGGCAGATGTCACTGCTGCTGCTTTTTATTTTTAAAGAATAAAAGATTGATGTACTCATTCGCCCTCTCCCTTTGCTTTTTAAAAGGTAATTACCTAGTATAAGGGATCAGACCCCTACCAGTATTTAAAATGTCTACCTGTGGCAGTGAGTTTGTTTTCACATGAAAAGCACCCAAAATAGTCTGAGGAAGATGGGAGATTAGAGGGAGACTCAGCTAGTAGATGTCCCAGCAGTATTTGCAACCTGTTTTTCTTGTCATTGCGTCCTGGGGAAGATACAGGTAGGTCCCCAGGTAGCACAAATGCCAGACAGGTGGGAATCGTGCTGCGCCCACGCCATAGCTAGACCCATGCCAACTGCACAGCCTAGAGAAGCGGTGCCAGCCACCCTGCAGACCCCTGAAACCAGCTTTGTTGACCAGTGGGCACACGATGTCACCACCATTCTGTTCTCTCCATTAAATCTGGAGTATCAGAAATAAACCAAGGGTAGATCAACAAAAGAAATAACAACAAAACTTTACTTCTTAAAGTATCCTATTTGTGGTGCAGCTGAAATAGTTGTGGCTAAGACCAAAGGGGGCGAATATACCACAAGACGAGGCAGAATTAGGCATCCCAGTTAAACAAACATCAAAGTCAACACAAGAATGCACGTTTTGCCTGCCTTTTTGATGTTTCTTTATTTCTCATCTTCACCCCACTGCTCCATTTCTTGCTACTAGGAAATTTGCATTTCTTTTAAACAACTTTGTAGGCATTTCCCAGTCTTTCACCAACTGGAAAAGAAAAACTCTTTTTGTGAAATCAAAGTATTCTTCCAAGCTTTGAATTATAAGGAAGAAGCTACTTTTTTTATTAATGAATTTATTGCTTGTGCCCTTTCTTTCTTTCTTTCTTTTTTTTTTTAAGGAAAAGGAGATTGGAAGAAGAAAAATAAGCATTTCTGGCAGAACTTTCGAAAGAACCAGAAAGGAATAATGAGGCACACTTCAAAAGGTACCGTATAGCAGCTGGCGGACAGTAGGTCCTTTTAGCTCTAAAATGTTAAGAAGCCTGTGCTGCTGATCTCAGCGGATGCTGCAAGTCAGCATAACTCATTGTGCGCATCCGTACAGTGTTTCAGCTTTCCTGACATTCCTATCGGTACTTGTCCCAACAACATGGGAAGAGTTAGCCGTCCTTACTTTCCAGAGCTCTGACAGCAAGGGCCAAATCTTTAGTTTTCTCGGTTACACCAACCTCGAAAAGATCTTTCCTCTTTCCCCATCAAGATCTAACCTAAAAGGGTCCAGAAAGTCTTAGCATTTCATTAGTTTTGGACCCTCCTGTCCACTCCCCTACTTGGAGCCTCTGCAATCTTCTGAACTTTTGATGCTCTTCTGTGGCAGGGACAGTTATGGGGTTGTTGCCCCTGGAAACTCTCTTTTGGTCTGACATCATGGGAATTTGCCCAGGCGCTTTGTGAAAGGGGTCTGCCCTGCTCTTGGCTGTGTCTTTTGTTGTTGTTTATATAGTAAGTAAATATGTCCTCCCTTGGCGGCCCAGTTACATAATTTATGTTTCCCCAGCATTCAGAGAGGAAACTGGAACACAACCACTTCCAGATTCCAGTCTGGCTGAATAAGGTTATCAATTAATGGGAATTTTTTGTTGGCACCAGTGACACTGTTTTCCTCTACAAACTCCTGGTGTCCTGCTCTGCACAGAATGCCTCTCCAATTATTCATAAAAGAAAAATGGACGTGGACAGCTCATACGCCAGGGAGACACCTGGGTTCCTTGGCGACATTCAGTGTGGTTCTTTTTTTAAGTTGTCTTGCTTTGAAGGAACTATTCTTAAGCATTCCCAGTTTTTCCTTTTGGTACACACCCAGGATCATTTATGATTCAAAATAAACCTCGGATTCTGATGAAGTCTTACTTAGAAAGAAAGCTAAGGAGAAAGAGAGGTAAAGAGAGGAGACAGGGAGAAAGACAGCAGTTTGCCACCAGCTCACGTGGTGTTTCTGAAAACCCAACCAACTCCCCGTCACCTCTTCTGCTATTAAAGGCAACACAGATAGTAAATGAATGAAACTGGCAGGCTTCTGTCCTCACCCAGCACATGCTATTACTTGGAGACAGGGAGAAAGACAGCAGTTTGCCACCAGCTCACGTGGAGTTTCTGAAAACCCAACCAACTCCCCATCACCTCTTCTGCTATTAAAGGCGACACAGATAGTAAATGAATGAAACTGGCAGGCTTCTGTCCTCACCCAGCACATGCTATTACTCTTCCTGTACAAGAAGATGAGTGGCAAAGGGGACCTGAGAGGTATTTCTAGACCGATTGATTATAAATGGAAACAAGATCAGGAAACACAGGGAAACATAAATTCCCAGGTAGGCCCTCCCTGAAACAGGTTCCTACAAGTCAACAGCCAGACTCTATTACTCTGTCCCTCAGCAGGCATCCTAATGACACTAGAAGCTAGTGCAGTGTGAGGAGAAGGGTGATGGACGGGAAGGGGGGTGTCTTCCCAGTCTGCGAGGGACAGCGCACTGTCACAGACACCCTTCCCCACGCCTGAGCAAAGGCTGCCTGTTGGCCGGCATGCTCCCACATAGGGGAGGCAATGGCAGTCTGTTCACTTTGCAGGGAAAGACTTTAGAAGGAACGTAAGGGGGGGGCTTTCTTTTCCTCTGCAGTGCTGGCTGCCTTTAGTTTTGAGTTGGAAGTTGACTTTGCCTCACAGTTTGGAAACCTATTGGTGGCAGTAATACTTTCAGATATAGGCATGTACAGTGCCTTCCTTCAGGGAGCTCAACATGCTTCATTCCATGATTTATTTATTGCTCTTATCCTGTGAGGAACCACAATGGCCAAATAGCTTAGCAGGAATGGAGGGTTTTACCAGGCTGTGGCTTAGACAGTGTGACCTTTCCGCTGTCGTGACTGAGGGGCTTGCTCCCACTTCTCTGCAAAAATATTTTCTTCTCATGCGTATTTCAAAAGGAAGAATGAAGAACCCCCAGCCAGAGGAGCCGTGGAATGCTTGTTGGATCTAGTTGGCGTTTAAATGACATCTCTGCCCTGCCTGTAATGAGGAACTGCCTGTCAGCTTTCTTCCCAAACTCCTCCACTAGACAGATGCTCCATCTCCAAAGCTCTGATCATTTTGAGGGATTGATTTCTATTGAAACATCCACACGTTCTTGGAGCCTGTTTCCCAATGAGATGTGCTCACTGGCTTCCTAAAAAGCAGCACGTTTCTGCTACCCTGTTGCTCCATCAGTAACATATATGTACATTGTAGATGGTGCCCCTGAGTGACGTCCTTCCCCAGCCCGAAATGACACTTTCAGGGCTGGCATTCATTCTTGTTTTCATTCCTGTGGTTCTTTGTCCTCAATCTCCAGGAGAAGACGTTGGATACGTTGCAAGTGAGATAACAATGAGTGATGAAGAACGCATTCAGCTCATGATGATGGTTAAAGAAAAGATGATCACCATTGAGGAGGCACTGGCCAGGGTAAGAGTGCAGGTGCTTGTTTGTATTTGTGAGTACTTGGCCTCCTTACATTTAAAAATGTTCGGGAGCATCAGAGGATATAAGAATATAATATTAAGAGTATTGTTTTGCTGATATTTTAGTGGCCATTAGGTACCCATGTAAATAAAATGTTTATTTCATTCTGTTTACTCCATACAAGCATTTCACCTTGTAGGGTGAAGCTCCCATATTCAGTGACTGCATGAATGAATGAATGGCAGATATTTTTGATCTGTAGACCACTTTAATGAGGAAAATGACCCCATGAAAGCCATTGCAAAATTCATAAGCCATTTGAAAAGATTGATAAGAATGTAATCAATGGTAAAATATTATTAAATAAAGATCAAATTAAATGAAATTCATTACAAAAATTATAAACATCAGTTCTCTGAGATTCCTCACAACCCAAACTTTGAATAACCTAAAGATTAAGCTTCAAAGATATCTCAAAATTTGCTTCCTCTACCTTAAATTTACTTAAAAACATCTTAAAATTACTCATATCTAAGTAAATAATAATTGCAGTTTACTGTCTTCTTTTTTATTTTTCTTTGAGTTAAATTAGTCACTAAAAAAAGCCCAAGTAACCTTTAGAATACTGGAGTAGCATTTATGATAGTGAAGCAGCAAATTATGAAGAAATCTCCTGCTTTGCTGTTGACCAATAAGCTGACTGATTCTTCGATTTTCACTTTGAACAATTGGCTTAGTAATGTGCAGACAGGTTGTAAATAGGTAGGTTTAGAAACTGCGAAAACCTTCATATCACTAAGGAACCATTGAATGAGTTACATCTTTACCAATGTCCTAATCCATTTTGCGCTGCCATAACAGAATGCCACACACTGGGTAATTTGTAAAGGACAGAAATATATAGGCTCATGGGGAAGTGTAACATCAAGGAGACCCCTGGAAGGTTTGGTGGCTGGTGAGGCTATTCTCTTCTCCCAGGATGGCGCCTTGCACACTGTGTGCTCTGGAGGGGAGGAAGACTAGATGGTCACTTGACAGAAGGTGGAAGAGCCAGGAGGCAAAAGGGGACCAATCTTGTCCTTTTATAACAGTGTTAATTCCACTCAAAGCCCCACCTCCTAACACTGCCACAAATAGCAACCACTTTTCTTTTCCTTATTATTATTATTATTTTTTGTGTGTGTGGCTGGCTGGTTCAGGGATTGAACTCCAGACCTTGGTGTTATCAGCACCATGCTCTAACCAATTAAGTTGATCAGCCAGTCCCCTGCAACCAGATTTCAACATCAGTTTTGGAGAGTACAAAAACTCAACCCATAGCAACCGTTAAGTGGACTCTTAAAGGTCTGAAACCTTGTAACAGTGACAAGCATACTCAGTTTATTTTCCCCCCTGCAACCAGATTTCAACATCAGTTTTGGAGAGTACAAAAACTCAACCCATAGCAACCATTAAGTGGACTCTTAAAGGTCTGAAACCTTGTAACAGTGACAAGCATACTCAGTTTATTTTCATGTACCTCACTCTAAGCTTCAATAGTTTAAAAACAAAAATGTTTAATTTGATGATGAGAGAACATGCAAAAAAAAAAAAAAGCACTTACGAGGGGCGGAGGTTGGGAGTGGGTTTAGCAGGATACCTGGGAGCCAGCACCACCCTGGGACACCCATCTGCTGGCTTCCATTTCTTGATTCAGAGACTTCCAGAATGAAGTGGCAGCAGTGGCAGGAATGGTGTTCCTGGACTTAACTGCAGAGGAGCAGGTTGATGTTTGGGCAGGTGATGGAGCAGGTGACATGTGCCAACCTTCTGCCCATGTCACCTGCACCTTCATCCCCATCCTGGTCCATCTGCTTCACCATGCGGTCGACCACCTGGCCTAGCTGCCAGCTGGGGCAAAAAGTCCGCCATATATTTTCTCACCAATCTCATTCCTTGGCCATGCCATAGCATGTAGGAAAGGTTGAATTGAATTCCTAGGAAATGCATATGAGAAGTATGGGCCTGTATTTAGTTTTACCATGGTGAGCAGGACAGTGCCTTATATTCTTGGGAGTGATGCTGCTGCACTAGTGAAAGTGAAGATCTGAATGAAGAAGTTGCCAACGGTCTTCTCACAACACCTGTGTTTGGGAAGGAAGTTGCATGTGATGTGCCCGATCTGGTTTTCTTGGAGCAAGAGAGAATGTTAATAAGTGGCCTTAATATAGTCCACTTAGACAGCATGTTTTCTATAACTGAAAAAGAAATAAAGGAATACTTAAAAAGTTGGGGAAGAAGTGGGAAAAAAAATAGTTTGAAGCTCTTCCTGAGCTCATAATTTTGACATCTAGCCATTGTTTACATGGAAAGGACATCAGAGGTCAATTCAGTGAGAAGGTGGCACAGCTTGTATGCAGATTTGGATGGAGGTCTCAGTCGTGCAGCCTGGCTGCTTCCTGGTTGGCGGCCTTTGCCTAGTTTCAGACATAGCCACAGAGCTCATCGAGAGGTCAAGAATGTTGTCTATCAGGCAATCCAGAAATGCAAATAGAAGAAAAAATTGGTGACAGTCTCCAAACTTTACTAGATTCTACTTACAAGGATGGGCGCCCTTTGACAGGTGATGAAGTAACAGATGCTTCTGGGGAAAGACTGCTCATGTAATGTGATCTAATTACCAAATATCATATATCTATCCATCTGAGAGGTACATGTCTGGTTCCATAAATCCTAAGTAAAGTCCTTAGGAGAGTGAAAACAAAACAAAACAAAACACAACACTTAATGTTTGTCATTGTTGCTGATGCTTTAGCACTGTGAACTTCAATTAATGCTAGGTGTCTTCTGTAAGGTTTCCTCAAAGCAGAGCCTGAGATGGGAATTGTGCAAGTGGCTTATTGAATGGAGGCTTTCAAGAGAAATCTCTAAGTGTGAGAGGGAAACAGGAGGGCAGAGGAAGAAACTGGACAGACATATGGTGTCTGTAGAAGTCTAGGCTCAGCCTGATCCCACAGGGAGTGGGGGGGTCTGGAAGGTGAAGTGCATTGTAGGGTTCGTCCTGCCAGGGAAATGTGTCTGAATGCTGACTGGGGAGAGGGGAGCTGTCTTCTAGGTGTGTCTGGGGAGACAGCTCCCATCTGTTGTGTTCTCCAGAGCAGGGTGCAGATGTGAATCCATACCTATAAATAGCCAAGGGATAGGTGATCTGGGCATCTGCTATACCAGAGGACAAAATTATGAACTGCGGACCTATATGTGTCATGGAATCATTTCCTTGTAGTAGCTACTGTGTATCAATCACAGAGACTTGGGCACAGAAAGTGTCTCATAGAGTTCAAAGGAGGTTTCTAAAAATTGGTCCCATGGGAAGAAGTTGGAAAGGATTTATTTCAGAGAAGAAGAAAAGGACCTAATCACTATCCTCAAGTGTCTGAAGGGTTATTAAACTGTACATATTCAGGATGTACTCAAGAGTATTTTATTTGTTTGTTTTTTAAAAATCTCTACTGGGGACACATTAGAAGGAAGTAAATTAAATTTGCAGCTGTAAGGGATTTAGATTTGGTATAGTTCTTTACAATGAGTACTAGTAGACATCAAAACATTACAAAATCTCTCCCTAAAGGTTTCTAAGAGAGAATAAACATTAATCTGCTAAAGATGACCATCCCTCTAAGAATCATGTCATGAACTTCACCTGTGAGAAAACAATGAGACTAGCAAAGTAGCAGATGAGGGGGGTATTTCCACTTAGGTCAGACAGACAGACAGACAGACACACACACACGTTTAAATGTCATTATTTTATAACTTCTGGAATTAATGTAAAACATTACAGATTTGCTTTAAAATGTGTAAATTCTCAAATGGAAATCATAAATTGCCATTCCTTCATAAAATTATAATTAAATAAAAAGTGAAGCAAAGTAGAATATAAAAATGTAATTGCATAAGTAATAACCAAGTTGTTTTTTCCCTGTACAATGTACATTAAAAATTTTTTAGAGATCTTGTTTTATAACTTTAAAACACAGCATTTTTGTAATTAGTATAATTTAAAAAACAGTTAAGTTTGGATAGGGCACAGAATTAAAATCTGTATCAGAAGAAGCACATGTACTTTTAGGCCCCAAAGTCAATGATGGAGATGGACATATGGCAGGAAAAAAATTAAGTCTATTTATGATTGACTAGTTAGGAATTTGTATATTTTTTCATTGAAGATGAAGCTTATTTAGTGGCTCCTAGTAGTTGGGGATGAGGTTGAGTATAAAAATGGAGTTACAACCTGGAGAAAAACTGATAAGTCATTTTCCATCTGGCAGCTATTCCTGATCATACAGGGAGAATGTAGCATTTCAGAAATAAAAATACCCAGAAGAAAGGAGAATTTCAGTACATACGGTATAGATACAAAGATTAGAACACAATATGTGTTCTTAATGTACTAGAAAGATTAAAATGATTAGTGCACTTAATAGCAAAAAGTTTGAACATGTCTCCAAATAGCAAAAAGTGTGGCCATGCGGGGTTAATGTGAACTCTGAGCTTTGTCTGAAACCACAAGGGTGATAACAATGTGTAATAATACCTCTATTATGTGGGTACAGTGTACTAAGAGCTTTGCTGCCTCATCTTCCTTAATTCTGGTAACAACCCAGTGAGATAGATTTATCATCGTCCCTGTTTTCCAGGTGGAGGAACTCAAACGTGGAGGGGTTAAGTGATTTTTCCCTGGGGCTCTCAGCTAGAATTTGGCTCTGTGTCCACGCTCTTACCTGATAATCAATACTGCTTACCTCCTCACACATATACATTCAGAAAAGAATTTCGTAGGTAGAAATAACTCTTGGGACAGTTGCTTTGTCCTGGAGGGGTAATTGTCAGGGTGGTGGCTTTGCCACACACACTCTAGTGGCTGAGGACTGTCCAGACACCATCACATGCGTTCAGACCATTTCTGTTTTTAAGTCGCTTGGTTCATGGAACATGTTTGAATCAATGTCTTAAACAGTTTTTCATATCTAAAAACTGCTTTATAATAGGATTTTAATGCATTGACAACTTACTTGTATTACGCAGCAGAGTTCAATTTCTATGTTTTAGAAATTTTTAGAAACACACCTGGAATTTGGCACACTCTGACAGATCATTCATCTGATTTTGCTAAATTAAATTTGCTCAGTTCCATATAGAATTTCACTTTCTCTGTTTTTCAAAAACCAGAAATTTACTAGTTTCTAAACCTAAACTTCCCGGTTGTCTTGTTATTTTCCTCCCCATTCTCAGTGGTCCCCAATAAACCCCAAAACATTCGTAGGTGATAACATTGAACTAGCAACTTGAAGCAGTCTCGAAGAAGAAAGCAAGTGATTTTTTAAAATCAGTTTCGCACTTCCACCTGTTCTACTAATTTATCTGCAGTCTACGCCATTGTCTCTTTCTACAGAAGGAGTGTATGTTTTTGACTTTATATACATGGGAAGGTAATTGAAGAAGAAAGCAAGTGATTTTTTAAAATCAGTTTCGCACTTCCACCTGTTCTACTAATTTATCTGTAGTCTATGCCATTGTCTCTTTCTACAGAAGGAGTGTATGTTTTTGACTTTATATACATGGGAAGGTAATTCAGAGGCCAAACCTTAAATGATTTCTGTTTTCACACTATCACTAAACTGCGGAAAGATGAGTTTGGATGTTAGAGGATGTTGGAGGGGGAAAATCAAGGTTCTTTTTGGGATGCTGGATACAAAGAGTTGTTGTGTCTTTCTGTTTGATTTAGATGAAAATTCCAGGGTAGAGTATTTATCTTCTTTCTTCTGGAAAACTTAGTCACCCACACTGGCATGAAGAAGGTGCCCAAAGTGATCTCTGCTGCTTGGCTGACCGTGCTTGGCCATTATTTCCATCTCAATCTTCTGTTTCTTCTTGCTGCAGCTCAAAGAGTACGAGGCACAGAACCGGCAGTCAGCTACCTTGGACCCTGCTGACTGGCCAGACGGTTCCTACACGACGTTTGATGGCTCCTCGAACTGCAATGTAAGTTTGCCATTTCTTGAGGATCTGCACCACCTCTACTACTAAGGGACAGCCCACACAATTTCTTTTGAATTTGTTTTCACAACTCCCACCTGGCTGCTTCTGGAAAACTTAGTCACCCACACTGGCATGAAGAAGGTGCCCAAAGTGATCTCTGCTGCTTGGTTGACCGTGCTTGGCCATTATTTCCATCTCAATCTTCTGTTTCTTCTTGCTGCAGCTCAAAGAGTACGAGGCGCAGAACCGGCAGTCAGCTACCTTGGACCCTGCTGACTGGCCAGACGGTTCCTACCCGACGTTTGATGGCTCCTCGAACTGCAATGTAAGTTTGCCATTTCTTGAGGATCTGCACCACCTCTACTACTAAGGGACAGCCCACACAATTTCTTTTGAATTTGTTTTCACAACTCCCACCTGGCTCTGCAAAGCGGTATCTCTTCTTACAGGTTACTCAGTTTTCTCTACCTGATAGAGACTCAGCTACAGTCAGAATAGTGCTATTCATGCTGGGGTTTTTGTTTTAATTGTAGTAGAGTGTACGAGAATATGTCAGAAAGTTCATGAAAGGATTTGTAATATTTTTTAATTCTATTTTTCTCCAAGCTTTTGAAGTGTCCTTGTATGTAATATAAAATTTACATACTAGCCATTTTTATGCGTTCAGTTTAATATCATTAAATACATTCACATTGCTGTGCAACCAGCACCATAATCCACTTCCGGAAGTTTCTCATCATCCCCCTGAAAATTTTATACCTATTAAACAACAGCTCCCTATTCTTTCCTCTCTCCAACCCCTGGCAACCACCATTCTACTTTCTGTCTCTATGAATTTGCCTACCCTAAGTACCCCATATATGTGGAATCATACAATATTTGTCCTTCTGTGACTGGTTTATTTCACCCACATAATGTTTTCAAAGTTTACCCACATTGCAGCATGTATCAGAACTCAATTCCTTTTTAAGGATAGTAATATTCCATTTTATCTGTATACCACATTTTGTTTATCCATTCATCTGTTGGTGGAAACTTGGGTTGTTTCTACGTTTTGGCTATTGTGAGCAATGCTGCTCTGAACATTAGTGTACAAGTATCTCTGAGTCCCTGCTTTCAGTTCTTTTGGGGACGCATCTAGGGTTAGAATGTCTAGATCATATGATAATTCTGTGTTTAACCTTCTGAGGAACCGCTGTGCTGTTTTCCATAGTAGCTGCAAAAAAGTTCCAAATTCTCTACTTCCTCACCAACACTTGCTATTTTCCCTTTTTTTGATAATAGACATCCTAATGGGTATGAAATGGTATCTCATTGTGGGTTTGCATTTCCCTACTGATAATGACGTTAAGCATCTTTTTAAATGCTTATTTGCCATTCATGTGTCTTCTTTGGATAAATGTCAGGTCCTTTGCCCATTCTTGAATTGTGTTTTGTTTTGTTATTGTAGGGTTGTAGGAGATCTTTATATATTCTAGATATTAATCCCTTATCAGATAAACAATGTATAAATATTTTCTCCCGTTCTGTGGGTTGCCTTTTCATTCTTTTGATAGTGTTGTCAATGCACAAAAGTTTTTAATTTTGAAATTAAGTTAATCTGTTTTGTTTTTGTTGTTGCCTGTGCTTGGGATGTCATATCCAAGAAATCATTGCCAAATCCAGTATCATGAAGATGTTGCCGTATGTTTTCTTCTAAGGGTTTTGTAGTTTTAGGTCTTAAGTTTAGGTCTTTGACCCACTTTGAGTTAATGTTTGTATATGATGTAATATATGGGTCCAACTATATTTTTGCATGTGGATATTCATTTTTCCTGGAACCATTTGTTGAAAACACTGTTCTTTCCTCAATGAATAGTTGGCACCATTTTTGAAAATTAGCCAACTGTGTATATGAGGGTTTATTTCTGGGTTCTCTATTTCATTCCATTGGTCTATATGTCTGTCCTTTGCTAGTACCATACTGTTTTGATTACTGGAACTTTGTAGTAAGTTTTGAAGTTGGGAAGAATGAGGCCTCCGATTTTGTTTTTTTTTTTTCAAGATTGTTTTGCTATTTGAGGTCCCTTGAGATTCTATATGAATTTTAGCATGGTTTTGTCTATTTCTGCCAAAAAAAAGAATGCCATTGGGATTTTGATAGGGATTGCATTGAATTTGTATATTGATTTGGACAGTGTTGTCATTTTAACAATATGAAGTCTTCCAATCCATGAATGTGGAATATCTTTTCATTTATTTATGTCTTCTTTGTTTGGGGTACAAAAGTGAAGGAGAAAGACAGGAAAGTCAAGGAGAAAATGCAGAGGTTAAAGTCACACCCACACGTGCACACAGATTCAAGATTCCACATACACATTTACGTACAAAAGTGAAGGAGAAAGACAGGAAAGTCAAGGAGAAAATACAGAGGTTAAAGTCACACCCACACGTGCACACAGATTCAAGATTCCACATACACATTTACGTTATTAACTTCTTACCAAGCTGTGTCTTCACAGATGGCTCAAAAATAAATTCAGCTTGTTCCAGTCAGACCAAGGGCCGGAAATAAAATAGCCTTCCTCCTCTAGGGCACAATCTTCCAGAAGCTCTAAAGAGTGACTTCACTTTTTGCTGAGAGGTGTAGGTTATTCAGCAAACGGGGAGAGTTTTCTGAAGCAGAAATAGTTACCCCGTGTATTTTGCCAGTTGACTTTCTGCAGTCACCCGTGTCTACTTCTAGTCGTGCTGTTCAGAACTACCACCGGTCACCATTGTGACTAGAGTTTGCTTGAACCTGCTTGTAATCCTACTGTATATGACTCTTGACCCTCTTACCCTGAGTTTAGCCTGTTTTATGTTGTTATGGAGACTAGGCCAGAAACTCCATCCAAGATATTTCTTCTCATTATTTCAGATCTGCCTCCATAGCAGAGCAATTAATTTTAGATAATTCCCGATGTGTCCTACTTCAGCCACCATGGGATAGGCACTTTGATTATCTTTTGTGTGAGGGTCAGGGCTTTTCAGTTTCTTTCCATTCCTTTCTACACTGAGATGTAAATAGCCCACTGGCTCTAGTCAGGAATGCCCAGGCCATGAAAGTTTCAGGGATCATAAGGCCTTTGTCACCAGACCTCAATGCTTATATTGATGCCTGTCATGCCTTAGGATTTCATTTGCATTGATTTCATAGGCTTCCCCACCCCCATAACTGACATTAGATAATTGTGTGTTGCCTCACAATAAATCCATGTGCACATTCCTAGTTTCCAAGAGAGTAAAGTGCTAAAGATAGTTACCAGGGGAAGTGAAAAATAGTCTTCTCTTTGCCAGAGAAGAATCTGTTCTGTGCTGTTTTTCATTAATAATAAACTTAGGTTGGGAGTGTTAAAATTTTTCAAAAGAATTTTTGGTGGAGAACTTAACTTGATTTTTTGTTAAATATCTGAACATTTATTTTAATATATTTTATTTAATTTATTTTGGTAAATTTAGTTTTTCTTTTGCCTCTTGCCAGGCGAAAGGTGGTACGAGTTCTCATTTTATGCTGTCAACTTTATGCCTTGAGGTTCAGTCTACCTTCTGGTTAAGAAAATCTTTAAAGAAGTGTTATTCTCTGCCTCACTGAGTTTTGTAGTTTTTTTACTCAAGGTATAAGTTTGAGTAAGTCATAGGTTTTATGTTTTTGCAAAGCTAATGAGTAACAGTTGATGATCTGTACCTGGTGCTTGAATATCAATGAAAATGCTTGCAATGAAAGATCATTCCCCAAAATGTCAAACTCTAATTATTTGACTATGGTGTTATCTAAATAATTTTCAAAACATACAATGTGTAAAAAAAAATTCAAGCAACAACAGTGACAGCACAAGAGCTTGTAGAGGCCATTGCAACATTATTTTGGTCCCTTTTATTGCTTCAGTTCATACAAAGTGTGTTCCAGAAAAATTAGAATTGTGTTTCTGCAGATGGAGCTTCTTACTAGGATGAAACAACTGCAGTGAAATGTTTTTGTGAAGTGAGTTATTTTATAAAGCAAGTCATTATTCTATAATTGATCACTTTTACATTTGGGGAGATTTAGAGTTGAGAGATATTTGCATGAAGAATGTTATAATGTTATACCTGCTGTATTATAATACCTTATGTCGTGTGTGCCTCCCTTCAGAGCTTTTCATTCCAAATATAAATGTATCTTTACCACTGACCTGGTCTGAGGTACAGGAGAGCCATGTGATCGAACTGTGTCCAAAACTCTGGGCCACAGAGACAGAATGCCACATGGTCATTTCCTTCACTTTTTACGAAAAGCTATTTTAAGTGTTTCCTTGATTGAGGACTTTCAAGGCCTCGACTAAAATATCTCCATATTATGAGGTGTTCTGGTTGGCATCTGTTAAAGCTTTTGGGGCTTTCTAAAATTATAAACCAGAAACTTATTTATCTTCAGCAGCCAGATTTTACTTAGGCTGAGGACTTTCAAGGTCTCGACTAAACTATCTCCATATTATGAGGTGTTTTGGTTGGCATCTGTTAAAGCTCTGGGGGCTTTCTAAAATTATAAACCAGAAACTTATTTATCTTCAGCAGCCAGATTTTACTTAGGTTTTCCAAAGTCATTTCACCTGCCTCAATAGCAGACGTGGTCTTCAAGCAGGAGGATTCAGATTTGGTGTTTTGGAAGGAGAGGTTGCCACAGCCTTAGTCTAAACTAGAACTTCCTAAAAGATCATTAACAATTCTGATATGTGCCAAAAGCCAGAGCATCCCACAAAGTGACTTTTTAGTGGTTCTTGTGGTGAGTGGCTTAATTTCTTTTATGGCAAAAGAAAAGGCTAAAGATTTAAATTTAATTGCTTTATAGAGAATGTGGTAGGAGAGCAGTGCATATGCTCATGGGTGCCCAGAACATTCTGTGTTGTTTTATTATTTTTTTTAAAAGATGACCGGTCAGGGGATCTTAACCCTTGACTTGTTGTGGTCAGCACCACGCTTTCCCAAGTGAGCCAAGGGCTGGCCCTGAACATTCTGTGTTTTGACTCCTTTTGGAGAAGAGTGGCTGCACCTTCTTTTTTTTTTTTGTCCTTTTTGAGACTGGCCGCACCGTGCTCAGCCAGTGGCTGCACCTTCTACCTGTAAATCCTGCTCCTTTTGGAGCCTGGTAGTCTAGATTGCAACCAATGTTTAAAAAATTGGCTATTTTTGATGTGTTTACTCTGAATATGTTTCTTTTACTAGAGGGAACTTTTATATAATATCTGTATGTTAAACTTTATTAGAAGTTTCGTATTCTTTTTTTTTTTCCTTTTTGTCTTTTTTCGTGTCCGGCAACGGATCGCA